GAAAAAAAATGTTCTGCCCCGGGCACCCATAACTCTGGTTACGCCACTGCATAGGGGATTCTTTTCAGTCAGAGTGGTTACATTTTGGAACTCTCTTCCACAAGCAGTGGTATCGACAGAGAATATTGATTCATTCAAAAATCAATTAGATATGGTACTTTAGAGACTGTAGCATACAAGGGTAAAGGTACTCTTAAAACTAAGACCACACGGTGACTCATATACACACATGCACGCACAACACACACAGACACACAAAGGCTGAACTTGATGGACGTGTGTCTTTATTCAACCTAAAATACTATGCAACTATGTAATGCTGAGATATTTATTTATTTGTACCACTGTTAAACACATTCAGAACCAAACTTTACCATGGTGAAAACTCCTGGATAGACCCTGTAATGGGACAGGAACATGGACTAGGTTACGGCCTTCCAGAATAACTCTGGAGGTACACCATTAAATTCTATCCATAAAAATTACATCTTTCAGTAGAGCGAACCCAGAGATTAATCTGTCTCCATCTTCTTGACCAACCACAAAGCTAGTGGATGCAGAGAGACCTTTTCTGATAGTGCCAGAAAGATGACCAGATCGACCTGACAGAAGAGGTAACGTCAATGTACTTCCTCAGCATAGCAGCCTTATTTAAGGCATGAGCTGAAACAAAACTTTTATTCTGGAATATTGGCAGCAATGATGTGCTATTTAGGAAGGATCTTCCAACCGTTGGATGATGCCAGGAGATATCTAGAATTACCCTGTCTGGGAAATGGTAGCAATAAGGTGGTTTGCCACCTAAACTTGACTATCCAAGAAGTTTTCTTTACCTCTTGGCGCTAATGGCTGCCAGCTGAACAATCCACTTGCTGTTGCACATTCAAAGTTTTTAACAGTTTTTTCACACAGACTTGAGGGGCTGCTCACCACGGACATAGAAAACAAAAGGAAACAGAGTGCCACCTCCGTGTGTAAAATCGTTTATTACAATAAATAAAACAAGGGATAAAAGTACTCACAAACGTTTTCATCAGGCTTTAACAACAAACAAGAGGCCACGCTGTCAGCCATCGACCGACCGCAGTCAGCCAAGATTGACGCGTTGGCGCCTAGTTCCCTTTTGTTGACTATCCAAGAGCCTCCTCCCGGAGGGGATGGCTGTAAGACATACTATTTTACGTGTTACTGTCCATACTGAGTAAGTGTGATCTAGACAAAGTCGAGGAGGAAGAACCTAACCATCACTATTTGTAAATCCTAAGAGAAAAGAAGCAACTTTCGTGAAGAGTGAATTCTTGTGCTAGCCATTAAGAGCTGACTTATCAGTTAATGAGCTGCCCATTGTGTCTCAGAGGATGTGGATAGAGGGTACTGACACCCAATTACATATTGCCTGCCTGAAGATAGTCCAATATACTGTATCTGTCATGGCAATGTGAAGAGTCAAAACCCTTTGATCTTGCAAAGTATGAACTTATTATTCCGCACTGTAGAATGTGACATTTAGTAGGTGCTCTAGCATTCAACAAACACTCAATGACTGAAGATGAGTAATCCAGGCAAGGCAGACTTTACTTCTTACCTCCAAGTCGCTTAAGTTAGGTTTGGATGTATCACCTGCTGCAGAAGGTCTGAATTGTTAGGCTGACTAGAAGATTCCAGTGACAGAGCCTACATAAAAGGAAACCCTGGACAGATGGGCCACAGGCAAATGATTGCCATCACCCAACCTGGATAATTGTTGGCCCTATTTAGCAACCTGAACCATTGGGACTGAAGGAAACATATAAGCATTAAAATATCCATTAATCCAGCCATTAGAAACTTCTCTTGACAAGGAGTGTCTGCACTCTGTGCTCTTAGGGATTAAAATAAGGTTGAGATCTGGATAACCCACTTGTTGCTGATCCACGGGAAACTGCTGGCAAAGAAAACACACATTGTTGTCCAGGGCTTTGTGGCTTATAGTGTCAGCCAGGAAATTCTGGGGAGTTAAGCGCTGAATTCATGGTTTGGCGGTACCTCCATCAGCAGTGATAAGTTCCTAAATCTATGAGCAGACACTAAATTTCACTATTTGAATTGATCCTGTCAATTCAAATAATGAAATGAACTTGAGACAATGGGACGCCAATGAGTAGGATAGAGGCTTGGCCTGCCTCAAACAAAACACTGAGACCACTGCCTACTTGGAAATTCTATAGAGTTTCTCTGAAAATGTCATCCATTGTGTTGGCAGGGTTTGACTTTCCCCGTTGGCAATCCCTTTAACCCTTTCGCTGCTAAGCCTTCCGGAACATTTTGCAACTCAGCTGGCCACGCCATTTTTGCAAATTTTCCCATTGATTTGATTTTCACCTGCTGCGTTGCTAGCGTTTGTAAAAGACCCCCCAAAACCATATATTTTCTGAAAGCACAGGCCCGGTAGAATAAAAATAGGGTGCTACTAAATTTGTAGGCCCTGCGATAATTGTGCAAATTGGGGGGGGGGGCTGACATTTCCCTTTTGAAATAGAAAAAGAAATTGAGGACACGGAGTCCTCAATTTCTTTTTCTGCAGCCTCCGCACTCAGTGAATAGGAAGCACTCAGTGCAGATGCTCCCCATTCATTCAGAAACTGATGATAGTAGAAATATTTTACTATCACCAGTTCATAAATAGGGAAAAGCCTCTATAGTGAGTGCTTCTCCCCATTGATAAATTCATAAATGGACAGGAAGTGATGTAAATCACAGCCTGTTCATTCATAACTGGGGACACACAGTACTATGTGTCCACAGTTATTTACAAACACCGGAGTGATCAGACGATCACTCCGGTGTTTGCTCTACACGGAAGGATCAATAAATATCAATGATATTTATTGATCCCCGTTCGGCCACGCACAGAGCCACTGACATCAGAAACTGACAGGATGATAGTGCGGCTTCTCCCGGCCAGCCGCCACTTGCTCCTAAAGCGACCATGAGCTTATAGCAGAACTGTAAATGCCCGGTCCGTATGGCATACTGACCTGGCCAGCCGGGAACACTTTTGTTCCGACGTATGCCATACGGACCTGGCAGCGAAAGGGTTAAATTTAATCAGAGCCTAACTTAAGATGTTCCCGTGGACTGCCAGAGTATGAGTATGCTGAAAATAGTGGAATACTTGAAGCCTTGTTCACTCAAGAAGGCAGCGACTGGATGTAATATTTGTGGTGAGGCCAAACTTTAGAATGGCAAGCAAGACATCTGAGGAAGTATAGGTGCACAGGAACGTGAATGCACATCTGCCAGGCACAACATCCTATAGCCCGTTAATGGCTTAATTGATTGAATACAGTGATTCCATATGCAATATCTGGCTCCTGATCCATCTGTTTAAAGCGTTCACTACCAAGACTAGTCTTAAGTCTCATGGTTTTCACACTAGGGGGGAAAAAAACAGGATAAAAAGCTTGACATTTTTGAACTCAAAAGATTACAAGACCCCATGTGGATATGTGTACATAGATCCTAGAGCTTTGCTTACACCAAGTAACCCTGATGGGAATGAAATGGACTGGAGGATGAGACGAAAAACCTGACAATGTCAGTCTTAAAATCTCTTAACAGGACCCATGCATCCTGGACAGTATATGCTCAAACTTTCATAAGCTCCCACAACCTGAGACCTACTGGGCAAGTATGGTCAGAGATGTTGGAAATACAACAGCATATAATAATGTACTGATATGTCTTTTGAGCTGTAGTTAGCGTTGTAATGGAATGCTAGTCTCTGTCTGCATGCTTATTGTTAGAAAATAATATTTCTTGACTGACACGATTTAAGCGTCTTAAGGTGATTAATCTTCATCAAAGAATGTCCAGTTGTAGAGTGAAAAACTTGTGACTTTAATTGTATAACGTAAAGTCAACAGCATACAATGGTATAGGAAAAGTGTAATATACAAATAGATAGTTCAAAGTATATAGTTCTTAGTTAATGCAGAGTTTAAAGAGTACAGAGTCTTTACCTCGTTGTATGTCTCTAAAGGCTTCTGAAGGGTTCAGCCAAAATAGTCTTATTAGCAGGTGGAATAACAAAGTCTTTTCTTGTGGGCATGTTAGAGTTCTCTTTGTGTGAAATTCTTCCGTGTAGCCTCCAGTGTGATGTAGTGTAGTGTGATGAAGAGTCTCGTGTGAAGTCGACCCATGCTTATATTCCAAAATCGACGTTAATGATTGGCTAATCCTATAAGGTCATATACTATGTAAGCATATTCTTAACTCATTGCTGACGTCACAACTCCTATACTTCCTTTATATGGCTTGACCAAAACTACTTTAGTCATCAAGATTTCATTCTTCAAACCTATTTTGAATACGGACAGCCTTCTCTTGACATATTTCGAACA